AACCCCCCCCCCCCCCCTCCCTAAGATACAGAGTGACGCCCAGAGAGTCACGAAGGGACCATACCAACAAAGAAAATGCCGAAAAACTAAACTTTAAAAAAAAAAGAGTTTTACGGCACTTGCAACACAAATGAGTCAGCACAAATAATCCAAAGATTAGTGGTGTTACTAGATAGCAACATACAAAGAAAAGAATAAGGAGATTGGTGTTTGATAGGAAAGAAAGAGCAAAACACACCACCAAAACACCCGCCAATCGCTCATCCTGGAAAGAGGTACTGTTCTGTCGATAAGCTGACATTTAAAGGAGCATGGTATTGCACAGTACTCAAATTTGAAAGCGAGCTTACTGTCTTTGATTTAACGTTATTAACAGTTTTACGGCGCTTGAGACACAAATAGGTAATTCAAGTGCCGACGATTAGAGGTGTTATTAGAGAGTAAGATAGAAAAAGAAAGGAGAAGATGATATAAGGACGATAGATGTTTATTAAAAAAGGAGCAAACCACAGCAAACCACCCACCAACCATGCACCGCGCGAGTGTGTGTGTGAGGGGGGGGGGGTGAGAGGGGGAGAGAAATAGACCAGAGATGGACAGATACATACGATGAAAAAAGACCTGTCCATACGGGAATCGAACCTTGATCGAACTCGCGTCCTCTGCGTGCGACAGCAACGCGCGTAACTGCTACACCAACACAGACGCTGATGCGAAAGAATTGAGGTAGATATCTAATTTGCTTTTGCGTGTGTGTGTGTGTGTGTGTGTTTACGTGAGAATTTTCTTATCTAGCTCTAACCAGCATACTATCCGATATATCTACAGGGATATCTAATGACGTCACGTCGCCATTTTATCATCAGATACGATATCGCATCGACGTTTGCACTCCCAAATTGTGATATATATATAAACAGAGTCCTTTTCGACTCGAATTTCCCTTATCTATAAGGCCTTTCCGACCGACCTACATTCTTAATCAGAACCCAGGACAAAGCGAAGCGGTTTGTTTCATAACACAAACACGCCCTACTTTCGTGAAAGGTAACAGTGGAATTTTTTTTTTAAAATAAATTTAAATCCGTGCTTTCATTTCTTCCGTTCGCTCACTTGACACTACACTACACAATCGGACGAACGTGCGAACCGGCATTCATTGGCGACTTCTTGGGGGTCAAGATTTCCCTTATCGTTGCACAACATCACAATAGGAAAATAGCACCGGTGAAATCTCTCCCTGTTTCGAGCGTCAGTAAACAGAAGCGCATCGATACGATGAAGGTCATTTAGTGCAGCGGAATATTGTTTTTTTGTTTAGTATAGGGTTTTACGGCGCTCGCAACTGCATAAGGTCATATGAGCGCGGGGGACACACCTTATACTTTTCGTTGGTAGGAAATTTTGAATTTTGCCCGGGTGGCGGCCGAAGCCTACTCTTATCGATTTTAGACCACCAAGGGATCTTTAACGCGCGCAAATTGCACACGGGCCCTCCGAGATTGCAGG